GAAGACAATCGTAATGTTTTTGTATTTTGTGTTTTGCAGTTTTTGCCACTTGTTGCTGAACAACTTCAGTGGATGCCCTTTGTCAATCCTAACTTGCATGTACATGTGGTTAAATTTATTTACTGGGCCATAAGATTATTATTAAAAAAGAAGACAATCGTAATGTTTTTGTATTTTGTGTTTTGCAGTTTTTGCCACTTGTTGCTGAACAACTTCAGTGGATGCCCTTTGTCAATCCTAACTTGCATGTACATGTGGTTAAATTTATTTACTGGGCCATAAGACAGTTAGATGGAAAAATGCTGGTGAGGAATATTCACACAAAGTATATCATTTGCATTTAGATAAGAACATTTCTTTCTGGAAGATGTTGCTTCTTATCACCTAAGCTCGATCTCATTTTGACCCAGAGATTTTATTTGATGGCTGAGATTCTTCTGCTTAGTGTACTAAGTCACACTAGAGTAGGTCCATTGAATCAGTGGAGATCTGGGAAATCACGTCCTCCACAAGTTCTATTGATTCAGATAGGCCTGCCTATTCTAGTTGCAACTAACTTTAAAATAGTGAGCTACACTTAAGAGTGTGCCCATTTTAATCAATTGAACTTATAGAAGTGTTGGCTCACCCAATTCCCACATATTCAGCAACCCTACACTAGTGTGGCTTACTGCACTAAGCAATAAGATTTCAGCGAATATTCTTTATGTACAAAGTAAATAATTTCCAGTATCTATTATATGTTTTTGTTTGGTGGGAAATTACTATTATTTTGCTAGTTGTTTTAATTCTAAAAACATAGCGTTCAAGGACTTTTTGTTGATTTTTTTAATAACTTCTGCAATACTGCCTTTCGTCACATACCAGTACTAATATGCAATCCATTCTGCTTTTCTGCTTTGTTACAATCATATGTAACACAAGAAAATCTCATAAATAGTGGGCAAAATCTTGTTTAAGTAGTCTTGCACCATGTAACCCAGATTGGATGCCAGAAGTATGTCACATAATGGAACGCTTCCTAGCCCCCTCTTTTTAGGTTCCAAGGCTTGCTAGGGTTGCCTTTTGCCCTGGGGAAACCTTTGGAGCCTCAGAATGGAGGGGGAAACTCTTTGATGGTTTAAAAAAATGCTGTTGGATCATTGTATCTGAGATCAGGATCATCAGGGGTGATCTGATAATGATTCTTTACTGTTAAACCACCACTCCTCATCCTGAGGCTCAAAAGGAAGCATTAGGACACTTTGGAACTTAAGAGGAGACAAACAGGAAGCTTAACTCCCTTAAATTAAATGCTTCTGCTGCCTGAACCAGGTTACAAGGTGCTAAGTTACAGGACCAAAATTTTGCCTCATAATTATGAGAAGTACACAAAGGTTCAGTAAGAATTTGCACAAGGCACTAATTGCAATTTGTCGTAAACGTTTTTAACAGCAATATCTGCTTGCAGCACTGGAATAACAGTTCAGAATCACAGTTCATAACATGGTGCTGGCATAATGATAGATATACAGTACTTCATTTAAACTGTTATCCACTAGGACTTTGATTCTTATACAGTGGGGTCTTGACTTGAGAACTTAATCCGTATTGGAAGGCGGTTCTCAAGTCAAGAAGTCTGTAAGTCAAGTCTCCATTGACCTACAGTGCATTGAAAACCAATTAATCCCGTAACAAGCCGTTTTTGTTCCATTTTGGTTTTTTTCTGGTCTGTAAGTCAAATCTCAGTCTGCAAGTCAAACCTAAATTTTGCGGCCAGAGAAGTCTGTAACTCAAAAAGTCTGTAAGTAGAGCCGTCTGTAAGTCAGGGGTCCACTGTACTAAATTGTAAGCTCAGTATGTAAAGCATGTAATGAGGCTGACAATCTCTGAGTACAATAGGATAGATTATCTTTATTCAGAAGAATGCTTTGTTCACTTTGTATGGTTTTATCACTCGTATGACAGTATACAACAATGACATCAACAATGAGAAGACTGGGTGAAGATATATTTAAAGGTGTTGCACCCAAGGGGACTCAACACATTTCTTCTGAACATGCCACTGACACCAAACCTAAACCAGTCACATTCTTTAAAAGTTGCAGCTTACCTTTGAGAATGATATCAACTTTAATTGTAATCAAAACCGTGACACAAGGTAAGTTCTGTTTTAAAAAATTGAGATCACCATGCTGCATATTTTATCTCTGATGCATCTCCCAAACATAATAAACCTCATTTCAACTGATTTGTGATTGTTGTATTAAAGAAAGATGATTATGAAAAGTGGTAAAGGGTTTGGATGAACATTAGTTCCATTCACTGAGTGTAACTCTGAAGGGAATCCTGGCCAATCCACTTGTTAACAGAGTAGCAGTGTGATTGGCTGGGTAGTGTATGTAGTCAGCCTGAAGGAGGATGGGGCTAGAAGTCTGGAATAATGACAGAGAGAGGAGCCAGGAGGTTTTGAAAGAGAAAAAAAATACAAAAATAAAATATAATGGTTATAATGAAAAGGGGAAATATAGAATTGATCAAATGCTAAAGCTAGGGAGAAAGATAAGGAATTTGTGGATATGAATTACCTTAATTGGTTGTTGTAGCTGAAGAAAAACTTAAGGAAAAATATGTTCCCAGTCTAATGCTCCTATGTAATAAAAAGTTATCTTCACTCCTTAGCCACCAGGTCTGGTATGGTTAATCACTGGTGTAGGACACACTATTAGAAAGATGTTTTAAAAGGCAATAGGCCTTGTGGCAGTTCAGCAGAGCCACAAACATAAATATCCACTGTAATCCTAAGAACCACCATGATGGAACAGACCGAAGGCCCCTCCAGAGATTGGAAACGTTATTTTTTGGATCACAATTTCCCAAATTGCCTAGTGCTGGGTAGTGTCTGGAAAATGTAATCCTAAAAAACTAGCTAGTCAAATATCGTGTTTCCCACAACAATCAGGGTGTGAACACAATCGCTCTGTCTTGCTGTTGCTCCCAAACAACTGGTATTCAGTGTGCTATAGTATTTCTTAATACAGCAGCTCCCATTACCCGTTATGACTAGTAGTCATTAGAAGATATGTTTTCTGTGAATATATCTGATCTTCTTTTATAACTAAGCTGCTGACTTTTATTATCATGCCTTATGTCAATTATTTCCATCAGATTCGGATTTTTTAATAATTTTTGAAATATGCATCCAAATGTTGGCCAGATTTTGTTATTGCAATGTGTAGCTAAAACAAAAAGACATTTACATCAAAACGTTTTCCCACAGCCTAGAAAAGTCTTCAAAGGAAGACCTTGTTTTCTAAAATGTTTTCATTTTAGCTCCTATTGTTATATGTGTGAAATATAAGACAAGAATATATGATATAAAAAGACTGTCTCCATTTGAAACCTGTATAAGCAGTGTTTTGCTTTAAAATTGCAAGGCAGTAGGTGGCATCCTAACTAAAGTTTTGCAAGTACAGAAATTATTGGCTTCATATAGCAATCCTGTAACAGGCAAATACTTCATTATTTACCTAGCCTATACATTACAGAGAAGTTGAAATAAGTCCAAAATAAGGGGTTGGGGGGGGGTCAGCTGCTTATTTATTATTTTATCTCAAATACATTTCATCTCATATATACCTATATGTTTGGTGGAATGCATACATGCATGAAAATAGTGAAGGAAATATTTTTTCTATTCAAATCATAGGGGAACTATGATAACTTTTTTGAATGTAGCTGCACTTATGGCATAAGCTCCACTGAACACCATGGAATTTCTGTTTTACTAATTATGCATGGGATTGAGCTGCACATGTTATTTGTGACTGAATGCAGTGATATATTACTGTCAGTGGTTTTTAAATAAGATTTGACAAAATTAGTTAGCTGATAGGTGTTTCTCTGAAGTTTAAAGCATAATCCCCTGATGGCACAACAAAAATTGGACAACTAAAACTTCAGAGTTATGCGTACTCAGCTGTAACAGCACTGTTAATCATAACTAGCCATTTCTTAAGATATTATCCTATTAATTCAGAAAGCACATTTCTTCATCCACTCTTAAGCTTAAAGTGCAGAAAAAAGTATTTAGTTTTTTACTTCAGTGAAAATGCCAGGTAAGTTCTAGGATTTTTAAAATGCTGGACTTCTATGAAAAGGACTGCCTCGGTTATGTATTTCCAAAAATGTATTTGATATTCCCCATGCATTTTGGCAAACAATTAATTGCAAAAGCATTTTTAAACTATCTCAGTGTATTGATCTCTTTCAAATGTACTTTATAACAATTCATGAGAAGCAGGTGTTTCAGTCTGTGGGGGTGGGGTGGGGAACTGTGTCCTGAGGCATTCTGAAAGCCTAACAGATTTATTGCCGTTTTATAGACTGAAGCCTGCTTTGTTTAAAAAATCATGAAGGGACATGTGTAGATAGTGGAGAAAGAAGTTTTAAAAGGCTACTACAGCGCATCCTGCATTTTTTGTCCTTTGGGCTCCAGTATCATTGGGTAGCCTGAGCCTCAGTTCTTGCTTCCGTGTAGAACTTCAGTGCAGGCAGAGGCCTGTCCTCTTCAGACACAATGTGGAGAAAGGAATGATACAAAGGAGAGAAGCTTCTCACTAAACATGCTGATTGCAAGAGAAAGGTACTGATTAAACAGGGTTTTGATAAAAGAAGCCCAATGAAATCAGTGGGTCGTTATTTATTTTATGTTCCATTGATTTCAGTTGGTCTGCTCTATGTGTGACTGATAGCCAAACCAGACATTAAGAAAAACTTATATTCCCTGCAGTTAAGATTTTCCCTCTAGCTACATGCCTGAAGGAAGCACCTGTCTTTTCAGAGGTAGGTGCCCCAGCAAGGAAACTTGTGAAGTAAGCTTATCCTTATGTTCTTACGTATGACCATTCACAAAGAAAGAGCACTGGAATGCAACATAAAGGGATGAGGAGAAAGATATGCTATGACAAATAGATGTTGTTCACCACTTGAGGGAGTACGGTGTCTCACTGCATGCCAAGCATATTGTCGATTTTAACACTTAAGTCTGGATTCCATCCATTAAATTTCTCCAACCAAGTTATCCCCCACAAGAACTCCCATCAGACCTAACCATAATAACCAGAGGAGGGGGATGTCATAAATCAGAGTCTAACAATGTTGAAAGAGCAACACATTCTTTATCCTTGATGTAGAAAATTTAAATAAGAAAATATATATTACAGTACATTTAAAAATGAATATAGATTGTAGGTCTTGCTTATGATGGGCTTAATACATGGGCTTATGATCTCTCACAGATTATTACAATCATAGGGATCCACCTCCTGCCTCCAAGAGATCACTGTGAGAATCATTGTCTCTACCATCCTGTATGATCGTATCTACTGCTAAGTTTATATTCTGTAATTAGATTTTGGCCATTTTCTCAATTCTAAAATTATACTCATTCTCTTTAAATTATATAGTTCCTTCTCATTTTATAATGTTCTGTATAGTAATTTCTGTATAGTAACTATCAACAGGAGTTTTTAGTTTTTAGTGACATTAGCTAATTATAAAAGTTTGAAGCCTAGAAAATGAAGGGAGTATCGTATTGTTTATGTGGCATTTTGAGATTGTTTAGTTTCAAAAAATATAATTCAAATTGTTTTATGAGCGTAAACATTTTTTAAACATTTCTTGTTTGCTTGACACATAATGAGCAAAGTCATTTAAGTAAACTTTTCACTAGAATTTACTTACATGTACATTGTCAAAGTGACTAGAAATAATGATATTTAATTTTAATATTTAAATTCTGATACATCTCCTAGCGGATTACCTGGCTCAAGCTTTTGATTCACTCTGCATTGATCTGAAGACTGATGAAGGGAAAGCCTTGTTTTTGGACTATCAAGCTGTGCCTGTTATATTGAGTCATATAAGAATATCAAGTAAATGCTTACTCTCTAGTGCCATTGACAGTCTACTTCAGATGACAACAGAATCCAGTGAGTATGTTCAATGATTTGCAGAACCCAGCTAAAGTAATTTAAGTTTTACTACATGCTGGAAGGCAGTTGAGGTGGCAATGCTAGCTATTTTGTTTGCCTGGCTATGTCCTGGTTGCACAATCAGTTGAACAACCGATCGCACAGCAGACAGTCGGCAAAACATGAAAATCGCTTGCAGAATTGCCTTACTGTATGCGGTAAAACCCAACAGGATTTTGGCTCTTGTGGTTAGAATGAAGTTGTTTGTTCCTCTGATAAAATTCCAGAGTTCACAATTACTCCCTGTATGATAATAATTAAGAGATTTTCATGATTGTGGTACACTAAAGGAAAAAACAATAGAAATATATTCTCTCTTCCTCGAGAAATATGTGACGAATGTGTGGTAAGTGCAAGTTGAGTCACAGCAACTAGACTTCTTTCTTGTTAGGTTGAAATGTTTTGCTACTCATCTCCAGATAGCTTCTTCAGTCTGAGGAGAGTTTGTAGAAGAATCCTAATATATCCTTCATGCTGATTTCACTCTTCTCTGGTCTGAAGAGTCCCCTTAGAAGGACCCACTTAATGCTTACCCTGCTTGACGACGAATCCGCTTCATGATGAAGTTTTTGCGATCTCAAAACGATGTTTTAATGGGCAAAACCACTTTACAAGGATCAGTTCCCTGCTTCGGGAACCAATTCCTTGCATTACAACTAGCAAAACAGCTGATTGTCGGGTTTTCAGAATGGACGCCGGCTGCTCAAAATCGCTCCCCGCTGTGTGCAGGAAGGAATTTTTCACTGCACAGGCATGGAAAATGGCTGCCCTATGGAGGATCTTCGCTGGACGCTGAGGTATTTAGCCTATTGGAACACATTGAACCGGTTTTCAGTGCATTTCAATGGGCTTTTTTATTTTGCTTGACAAGGATTTCGCTCTATAGCAATTCCGCTGGAACGGATTATCCTCGTCAAGCGAGGCACCACTGTATAGGTTTCTCAGGAGATAGATAAGGTTGTAAGGCACTCCCATTTCTTTAAGGACTTGCCATAGTTTGTTGTGGTTCACACAGTCAAAGGCTTTTGCATAGTCAATGAAGCAGAAGTAGATGTTTTTCTGGAACTCTCTGGCTTTCTCCATAATCCAGCACATGTTGGCAATTTAGTCTCTAGTTCCTCTGCCCCTTCGAAATCCAGCTTGTACTTCTGGGAGTTCTCCATCCACATACTGCTGAAGCCAACCTTGGAGGATTCTGAGCATAACCTTGCTAACGTGTGAAATGAGTGCAATTGTGCGGTAGTTGGAGCATTCTTTGACACTGCCCTGCTTCAGGATTGGGATGTAGACTGATCTTTTCGTATCAGTCCTCTGGCTACTGTTGAGTTTTCCAAACTTGCTGGCATATTGAATGTAGCTTCTCTGAGTTACTCACACCCCTTCGCCACGACAAGGCAGCAATCCATGAAGGGGTCTGAATATCTAGCTATCTACATTTGCACAGAGAAGTGTTTTATGTCTCAGCTTTATAAATTCAGCACATCTCTTCTATCTTAGATTAATTATAAGGATACCTACCATTACCTGAAAGCATGGGCTATAATATTTATCCTTCAGTTTAAGCAATGTCTTTGTGCAGCATTTGATTGCAGTTTGCTAGAATGCTCTAACATCTATAAGTTCTCTAATTCTGGAACTGATGTTCCACAGAAGCAACTTCGTAAGCTCTCCAAATGTGCCCTCAGCCAAATAGAATAATCATTCTGCATTAAAGACTTGCTGTTAGCTGAACTGAAAAACCAAGTACTTTGTGCGTTCCAATGCAAACCAGCCTGCTTGATCTTCCACTGAGATAAATTACTGCTAAGGACTCATCCTACGCTTTCTGCCTAAGGTGATTATGCTGTTTCATCTTAACCAGGAAGTATTACTACTTTTTCTCTTTAGCCCCCTACATGCTAATGTCAAAAGAACAGTTTTCTACACTTGATATGTTGTTGGAAATACTTTTCTTTTATATCAGTCTTACAAAGGAGGTTGGGCTCGATGGCCTTAGAGGCCCTTTCCAGCTCCATTATTCTTTCATTATGCTCTCAAAATAGCAGGAAGATGTACCAGATGAGTTTAGTCTGGAAACTTCAGTAAGCCTTTGTATGGCAGGTAACCAACAACCACGTCATACGTTGCCTGGTTTTGCTGCTGAGCACACATTGCATAGAAAGTGGAAGCCAATCTCTGCTCATTAATTTATCTACTCATATAATGTGCATGGTTATAACACTGGATAGCCTGCAAAACCTCTTGTTATTACATCTAGACCATAACAGAGATGATAATTAAATGGAGTATGTGATTAACTCTGTATTTGGTGTTAGAGAACAAGCTCACACATGCATAACAAAACCAGCGAGAGCTTTTTCTGCACCTGGAAAACAGCCTGAAGATATAGAGAAGAAAGGAGAACAAGCTACGATCCTTGAGACAGAAGAAAAATGTTCGCCACTTCTGCTTGAAAGCATTAGACCATATTCATCCAAGTGCAATACTCTGTATAGAAACATCCTTTTCCACTTGTTTCAGATGTTTTCTAAGATCAAGGACTTGTTTTGAAGCAACCCAGAAAGCAAAGGTTCTAACAACTTCACATCATTTTGTCTTTGAAGACCTCCCTCACCTGTTGGCTTCCCTTTCTACTCAAAATCCTAGTAAAAGGGTTCCTGGCAAAGGTTAGCAGGAAACTAGGTGACCGGGATCTGCCACAGGCTTTTAATGCACTTCAGAATAAATACTGCTGCCAATAAGATGTGTCAAACTCTTTAAAACACACACACACACAATCAAAAGCTTTCAAGATGCTGTTCCGCATGTCTGACTTGGTGTGCATGGCAGGAACTTGGGTGCTGCTTTTTGTTGTATATGGGCTTGCACCAAGTTTTTGCTAACATGTTTAAGACTGCCACGAATCCTTCTAGACCAAGAAGATGTCAGTTTCCTTCTGTTGCCTCATTGTGCACCATGGAGAATTCTGCTAAACTTATTCTTGAGTATTAAGCTTCTGTCATTTATTTTTTAAGTTGATCATTTCTGTATTAATGGGAACATGTGTGTTCTTTGCCCATTATTTTTAGAATATTTCAATTTCTTGCCTTGGCAAAGGTTGAGGGCATAGGTTCTGCTTAGACCCATTTTGCAACTTCTTGCAACAGTAATAACTCTTTAGTAGTGGGACAAGCATTAATGTATTGTTTCCTTGATTCTCTTAAAGGACAGGTGAGGAGTCATTGTGAAGAAGAGGTATTTGAAGTTAGAAGAGATGAAAAAACGTATCGTTTATATGAGATAAGCAGCAAAATACCTCTTTAAAGGATACTTCATCCCAGCCCCTCCTTTCTTGTACTGTCTGTCTTTGTAGTGTTCTTTCTAATTATCCAGATCCCTTTTCTCTTCCAGCTTTTAAGGGATTAGAAGAGGGAGGGGGAGAGCTGAGCATCTGACCAAGTGAATGCTAGTCTACACACCATAAGGCAGAAGTGAGCAGTCAGAACACATGGCTCGGGTTTTCACCCTTCTGGGAGCCTTGAAAGTCTGTTGCCTTTGAGTAGCATCTCTGAACCTGTGCCTGCATTCAGTGACTAGATGCAGATGAATGAATTCAGTCCAAAAAAATAGAGTCTGTACAAGCAAATTGGTGGGCTTCAAAGACACATTTGAGGTGGGGACTGCTGCCCCTTCTCTTTATTAATTATACCTCTTCCTCTCCATACGTCCCCTGCCCAACACTTAATTGTACTTGAAAAACCAAAGCTGGCTGCTGTCCTTTGTGCATTCTTTATGTAGAGCTGTATTTTAAAAATAGTCAGAAACTTCAACAAGTACAGATAATAATGGGAAATGGAGATATGTATTGAGACACCTGCATGCTAGTGTATTTTCGGGTGTTGTTTTTGATTGTTAAAGTTTAGGATTGATTTAAGGAATGGTTTGTTTCATATGAACCACCTTAATAAACAAGCACTTACTTATTTATTTATTTAATCTATTTAAAACATTTATGGTCTCCTTATATTGCAAGATCTTAGGATGGGTTACAAAGCCATATAAAACCATAATTTATTTAAAACAATTTAAAATTAAGAAAATTAAAAACATCGCATTAAAACCTGCACAGACTAATATCCTCAACCCCCAAAGGCTCTACATAAGCATGTTTTAACCTGGTGCCAAAATGAGTTGTTTGAAGTCATACATCCATATATATGCATACTATTTTTCTTGCATATTTGAGGCCGTCTATGACTGCATTATAAATAATTAGGTAATATTTCTTTATAAATATGGCTTTAAATACTTAAATTAAGCTATTTTGTTTCTAAAACTTGTATAGTGATACCTGCATAGAAGGATAATATTTAGAGCATACATGCTAATTTGGGACCACAGCTTTCAGGGATTCCTCACTCCAACCTGAAGCTTCTTTTAATGTTATTTCTGATGAGAGATAAGAGCATTTAAAGCACTGGAGTAGAGCTCTAGTGAAAGCAGCAGAGATTTGTAGCCAAGCTCTGTTTTGAAGCCGAGGAACCTGCTGTGATTGTTCTGACCTCTAGATCAAAAGGATATTGCACTGGGGCTTAGTTGTGAGCAAACATACATAATATTGATCTGCCTTCTGGACACATGGATCTTTGAGAAATGTCCCCATTGGTAAGAAGTACAGTTGAATTACGCTTCTCATACTGTTCTGGTTGCACCATCTGTTCCACATCTCTGCCTACTATTGGATAATAGCCACCAGGTTTCTTTTCAAATTGGAATTCAGCCTCCAGGTTTAATGAGCCCCTTAGAAAAAAATATTCTAAGTAATCTGAACTACATTATAACATATGTACACACACACACAATTAAAACTCTTACAGTGGGGTCTCGACTTACGAACGGCTCGACATACGAACGTTTCGACTTACAAACGGCTCTCAGGAATATATGGACTCGACTTACGAACTTAAATTCGAGTTACGAACTCTTTTTTCCCCTTTTTTTTAAAGCTAAGTCATCTTAGGTTAAAAGGAAAAAAGAAAAAATATTCCCCTCTAGTGGCAGAAGGCGGAATAGCAGCTTCCCATTAGTTTCTATGGACGAAAAGAGCAGATACGGATTAAATGGTTTTCAGTGCATTCCTATGGGAAATGCAGATTTGACTTAAGAACTTTTCGACCTGAGAACTGCCTTCCAATACGGATTAAGTTCGTAAGTCGAGTCCCCACTGTATTTTTTTTCCTGTCTGATTTCAAGCTACTGTTTACAAATTTTTTTAACCATAAGGGATGGCATTCAAGTATTCCTCAACTGGTTGCTGTGAAAAGGCAGACATGCATATCTCCGTATTATAAAATAATTTTATTTTGTATTCTAAGGAATTTGAATATTATCTGCAAGGAACATAACAAAGGATATGTAGGAGCGATGCGAATAGCAATAGGCAGGCATTATAATTCTGATAAACGTTTTAAATAAATAAAGATAAATAAGACTGAGAAAGCCATTTATTTTGTAGGAAATGTTATTAAAAATAACATATGATACTAACATTAATGGTTTTGAAAATGCAACGGTGCTGAATATTGTGCTTTAAATCATAGTATGCAAATGTATCCTATGGTATCCCTGACTTTATTTAGAATATGGTTATGAAACTGCAGAATGAAATCTATTTTCCACTCAAACTGATGCACTTCAGAATTCTGTAGACAAAAAGAAAACCCACAACAATTCATTGCTTTGTTTTTGCTTTGGGTGATTGGGGACAGGCATTGCATTCAGTATGGAAAACGACCACCCAGTAACTCAGCATTGTGTTGAAAAGACAGCCGCATTGTCCATTGTTAAACAAGACATGCAACTGAAAAGTGTACCTCTCACATGCAGAAATGTATGTGCCATTTTAAAAAACAATTTGATTCTGAAGCACAGTACATTTAAATTTGATAGTAACCTAGGGTTTGATGAAGCTTCTGCTCAAGCCAGCGCTCCCCCTTGCCCCTTCAGATTGCTTACCAGTCTGTTCCTCGTCCCACCATGACTTCTCCATGCCAAGCATCTGAGCACATGGTGCTGGGCTTATTCAGATTATGTCAGCCTGCTCCAGTGGCAAGTTCTGAAACAGGCCATCCGTCTAAAGAAAATAGACCTCCTGATCTTGATCTTGTTATTAGAGATGGGGGAATTTATATACGAATATCCCCCCCCACAGGTGGAATTAACGAGGGGCCAGCTGCATGGGGCCGGATGGTCCACTCATGATTCCATCACTGCCGCATCCTTCATATTATATTTGTTTTGTTTCTCTATTTCTTAAAGGAAATTGCATTTTATTAGCTCTTTATGACAAGAAAATTTTCTGTGCTGAGTTTTAATTGAAAATAGTGTTACTAAGCGTTTGTGTTTAGTTTTAATTATAATTTTTCCCCCTAAGAGGGTTGTTATGTGACCTGATTTAAGAATTAACAACCTCCACAAAGTTATGTGATTAGCAATCCTCCTCAGGTCTTTCAGATTAAAAGCTGAGTCTCTTTTATTGAGTGGAACCATCCATTTTCCTATAGATTTTCACTTTTCCTAGCACCATCGTCTTTTCCTTTGAGTCTTGCTTTCCTGTTGTATATCAAAAATATGATAGCCTCTGATTTAAGTGATGAAGTCATGGTAAAAGAGAAGTGTGAACCAAAAAGGGACATGATGTCAAGAATTAGAGAGCCATTGGTCTATTCTGCAGAAGAGAAATAAAGCCTTTGGATAAAAGCTGTTGAATATGTTGAACAGAACTGGGACATACGCTAGCATACTCAGGAGAGTTGGCAAGAGCATTCATAATCTAGTACTTGCACTTGACATGAGGAGGATGTATGTTTCCGGATTTACGAGGAGAAGACGTAAAGGGACAAGACAGGGATTGGACCATGCTACACCATGGAAATAATCAAAAAGAGGAATCGTTTTAATAATCACGAGACATCAAGCAGAATCATTGTTGGATACATATGAGAGAATCAATGCATCATTAAGAGGAAATACTAAGTGTATATTTCCCTTAGTTCAGTGAAAGATCCTGTGCATCTGGAAACTAAAAAGAAACAGTTATGTGATCCATGTGAAGAATCCAAAAACAGCATTAAGTAATACCTTCATTTTACTGCCAACATGTCATAAAAGGGCAAAAAAAGTTTACAGTCTATAGGATTCCTCATCAGGGTAGGCATCAGAGAACTAGACAGTAGGGAGCCCCCCCCCCTTTATCATGGCTAGATGCTAAAGCTGCAGGGTCTGTATCTAAAGTAAAATTACAAGAGAGAAAACACGAAATGTGAAAAAAAATCTTTTTCAGGTGTTATGTTCTCAGGATTCACTTGAATCAGAGATCTACCAGTCACTCAGAGAATTCTCCATTGCTTTTTACTGAAGCACAAGGGAGTAGAAGCACCAAGAAACATGGTAATCACAATGGCAGAAAAGGCGGAAGTTAAATTTCAGTCACACACCAGGCAAAAACAGTTGAAGAGTATCACCTACGGAATAGAAAGTTCTCAGGCTGATACAATCTTGTGTGAGTGTTAGATTCTGCTCCAGATAACGCTTCATGGTATTTTCCACAGCAAAATGGAAAACAAACACAGCTAGTTTATTTATGGATAGATTGTATGCTTAGCTCAATGTGCTATAGATGCAGTTCCTTTATTTATATCACTGTTTATTTTTTTAATTACCTTTGTGCATCTTGCCAAGAATATGTGAGGGATTCATATTCTTCCCTCAAGTGTAAAATAGTTCATATTTGTACTTGCAGTGTGCTAGCTTGGTCTTTATATTTTGCTTTGGACACTGGCTTGATCACGTACAGTCATAAACTAAGAGTGCACAGCATAGCAGTGGTGGAAGTCATTTGTGTACACCTTACTTTACATTTGCTGTCTTATTAGCATACTTTAAAACATTGTAAAAACTTTCTGATGTCTGTTGACACTTTACAGAGTTTTTGCATCGGTTTCTGGAAGCCTGCAGTAATGAGGCCTTTTTCCGTACTTGCTCAGTACTGCTTCGGAACCCTAAACTAGATATTCAGATACTGGAAAAGCTCAGCATTTTACTACAAAAACTCTCAAAAATTAAGTAAGTGTTCTCTTCTTTGAAGGCATATTGCAGCTTTACTTTTTTATCCAACCCTGATCCCTCATTTGCTTTCTTTCTGAGGGTAAATCAGACTGTAGGTTGTGTAGGAGAATTTGGGGGTAAAGCCAATACAGAACAGACGTGTAGGTTGCAGACAGGGTAGGCCCGGCATGAAAGAGGCAAAGACCCAAGTTGACCTTGCTGCCAACTGGTCAGACACTATATTCTTGCTACCTTTGAATAAGATTCTGTCAATATCTGTTCAGATTAAGGCTTTCCAGTCCCCTTTCTACAAGAGTCCCATATCCCTTCCCCAAATACCCTCCTACAATGGAGGAGCCATCTGTAGTCTCATGCAGTGGGGAGTGGGGAGTGGGGCGATGGGAGGGGAAAAGCATAGACTTCCTTTCTGCTGATGCTCAAACAGATGTTTTTGACTAAAGAAGGCCATGAAGTTTCAGTGTCTCTAGGTCAGCTTGCATTTTAGCTGAGAGATAATGAGCATTCCACAAATATTAGTTCATTATCCAGAAGTGTTGGGATTTGTCTCCCATCCATTTCCTTAAAGTTGCATTCTTGAAATGCTTAAGACTATGTGTTTCTCAGCATAATTAAAGTTAAGTTTATAAAGTTATGCAAAAACACTTTTTTTGCTAGTTTCTGAGAGAGAAAGAAAAAGTTCTTATGGAGTCAACAAGCGCTCAGGATTTTTAGAATAGTTTTTATTTTCTCATATTAACCCAGAGGAATAATAATTTGGTTTATGCCCCTAAGTAGTTTGTTACATTTTTTTAGAATTGGAACAAATTAGTTGCGATCTCTGCTTGAAAATAGCAGCTGTAAATGAGAAATCCTCAGACTTTCAAATTTAAAGAGTGAGAAGTAGTTAAAATAAATATTTTTTAAATTTACTTTTTCCAGGCATGTTGCCAAGTATAAAACTTGTGTTTACCTTCAGTGATGATCTAAAGAGGAAACACAGCAATGATGAATTTTTGTTCTATTTTTTAGGACTGTCTTTTTTTCCTCCCATCACTTTCTATAATAATAAATGCTAAAGTTATGCCATTGTTTCATAATTTAAAGCTTGTATTGTATAACAGTACTCCCTGCAGTTATTCACTAGCCGTTAATTTAATCTTCCAAAACTGCATGACATTAAAAATAACTAAATAACTAAACAGTAGATAACCCAAAGTGGCAATTCCGCCCCCCCCCCCAGCAGTTTGTTATGCTCTTCAGAAAGTGTGCTGTTGACACCTTATCATCCTGTAGGACAGCGGTTTCCAGCCTTGGTCCCCAGATATTTTTGGTTGTCACCATTTAGAAGCCCCATCCATTCTGTGAGCTGTAGTCTGAACAATGCTGGAGGGTTCAAGACAGGAAACAATGTCTACAGAGCAGTCAAACAGGTGTTTTGTCAGTGTATAACATTCTTGGAAAATGTTTTACAGGAGTAACAAGAAGCTATTTGAACTCTTTACCCTTCACTTGATGATTCAAGAACTACAGAGGACAACACATCCAGATCATGCATTTTTATGTATTAATCTCAACTCAATCCTCTTCAATTTGGGTTTGACAAAAAACAGCCTTTTTACAAATAATCTAAACGCAAGCCCAGAATAATATGTGTTGTGTTAACGTGTGTTTCTTCTGCTTATTCATTCTTGATAAATAAATAGGATAGCCAGGGGGGAGGGAGGAATAGATTGCTACAATTGATATCCTTTTTTGTACCAATAGATTTCTTGGATCAGTGGAATCTTGTCAAAGAGAGATTGACTTTTTTAAAGGAAATTACTCCTCCCTCCCCCACATTTGTGTAATTAATGTAGTAACTGGATAAGAAGCATCTTGAGCCAGATGGCGTGGCCATGCCCACCCCCAAACTGTGACTAAAGATGAATCCACCTGATCACTTATTCATCCAATAAAGCAATAGTGATTACATTCTTTGGTCACTTTGTTCCTGGATCTTGATGCACTGTGGTCAGTGAGGCCCCATCATTGAAAAATCCTTCAACAATAAATAAGAGGATGACTCGCTCTGTGACCACTGAGAACCTTTGGTTAACCTCTCCCCCCCCTTTTATTTCTCTCTCTCTTTCTCTCTTTTTCTTTTTTTCTTTTTTGGTAAATTTGCTGAGGAAAATGACCAGCAGCTGGGATAAAAGCCTCCAAGCTATTTTGGGAAGTATTGTCATCCCAAGAGCACAAGGAGAAAACAGAATCTTCTGTAATTATATAGGCCTCTGGAATATCTGAACTGTAATACAACCCTCAAAAGTTCTCATTGAATTCTTTATTTTCTTTTTTTCTACAAGAATGTTTGCTCATTTTTTATGTGAGGAAAAAGTGCCTGTTACTCCAGTCGGTCTTGGAAGAACTTAGCACTGATTAACTGTTTGACCAAAGCCTTCTGTCCTGTCGTTGCCTCACTATTAATAGGCATAATTCAGATTTTCTTCTTGATATACATATATTTACTGACTGTCACCTTGTCTTAATAATCACTGTCTATTCCAAAGGGTGAGATATACAGATATAGATACGAGACTGAAATTAGATTGTTTCATGAATAAGGGCTCCTTCTGTTCGCAAAGGACATTAAACTCCAGCACAGAATCCATTTTCTCCCCTTTGCTAATTTCTTCTTCCTATGCAATCTATTGTGTGCAACCTCTCATGTTATTTCAGATTGTCCCTGTTTGGAAAGCATAGGGGATTGGAGGGGGACAAAAGAGCCAAAGATTGGTTCCTCAGTATTTAACAGCAGAATCAAAAGTGGAGAACTACACTGGTTCCCATGTTTTTTTAAATCTTTACTTACATACTGTGTATCTGTTATACCAGAGAGACAAGTGCCCAGCTATTGATGAATCAATCATTCTTTCAGTACTTGAGAACTCTGTAATTGTCCTGTTAACCTTATTATCAGCTGTTACTGCTAAGCTGTATGTTTGAAAACGCAATTACTGTTTGAACTGTAGGCCTATATTTGATTCAACCTATCTTGAGCGGCCAATGAATCTCAGACAGACATTTCATGTGGTCACCTTTGGAATTGGCAACATCAGGCAGGCTGATGAAACTAAAACTTTTGGGTTACAAAATTCAGTATGTTATCTCTTCAGAAACGCCATAAACTGTTTCTTATAGCTGTCCCTAAACTGTCTCTGAAACTTCATAATCAGGATATTTCCCAAAGGATGAAAAGCATTACTTTTCATTTTTTTTCTCAATATAGTACACATGTTTCCAGTCAGTACCTTTTTCAGTAATTGTGAAAAAAAATAAATTAGCACCACAAATCACTATAAAAACAATGGGGCTGGGTGGAGACTTTTCCAGGGATAAAGAAGAGATTACTGGGGAAATTATTTCTTTGAGTTGGCCAATGACAGCTCACCTGTACTTGGAATTGCCTAGGAATTCTGTACCTTAAAGCATTTGCCTTTTTCTGATCTGGAGATGCTATGGGACAGCTAAACACTTAAGTTCTCCAGATGTTTTCTAGACATTTGCAACCAAAGAAAGGTTAGGTCACTTCCATCCTTCGTCTGCAAAAATTCATCACTTTCTTTAAAATCACATCAGTCCCATCCTATCAAGTCCTAGGCTTTATAGAGGTAAAGCAAATACTCTTGAATTGGGCATTTTACATTATAGAATTGTTAGAGGGAAACTTATAGATGAAGCATGAGGGATGTCTGGTTATTTTTACACTTTATGAACTTGTGCGTTTCTTTTTAACAATTCCTTTGTTGGTGTGAATACAGATTAATTTTTTCATTTCTTTATATTTTATGGAGCTGGTGGATATAGTTATGAATTAAACTTAACCATGCCACCCATCCTCTAAAACAGAGGTGCAGAGGCATTGTTTATATATTGCAAACATACAACTTGGGACAAAGTACAGTAGAATGAACAATAAGTGATTGGAACATGAATGTGTTTTTAATAAAATGCTTAGTATCAAACGTTATGGCAGAGAGGCATTTCTGAGACCTCATTTTAGTGGCTTTTATCTATTGTTTGTGTTTGTGATACAATTCTTATTTACTGTGGACATCAGTGTAAGTTATTATTTAGTCGTTAAGTCGTCTCCAACTCTTCATGACCCCATGGACCAGAGCACGACAGGCCCCCCCTGTCTTCTACTGCCTCCCGGAGTTGGGTTAAATTCATGTTGGTCGCTTCGATGACACTGTCCAACCATCTCATCCTCTGTCGTCCCCTTCTCCTCCTGCCTTCACACTTTCCCAACATCAGCTTCTTTTCCAGGGAGTCTTCTCTTCTCATGAGATGGCCAAAGTATTGGAGCCTCAGCTTCAGGATCTGTCCTTCCAGTGAGCACTCACAGCTGATTTCCTTCAAAATGGATAGGCTTGTTCTCTTTGCAGTCCAGGGGACTCTCAAGAGTCTCATCCAGCATCACAATTCAAAAGCATGAAAATGGTTCAAAATTGGGAAGGAAGTATGACAAGGCTGTATATTGTCTCCCTGCTTATTTAACTTATATGCAGAATACATTGTGTAAAAGGCTGGACTGGAGGAATCTCTAGCCAGAATTAAGATTGCCGGAAGAAATATCAACAACCTTAGGTATGCAGATGATACCACTCTGATGGCAGAAAGTGAGGAGGAATTAAAGAACCTCTTAATGAGGGTGAAAGAGGAGAGTGCAAAAAATGGTCTGAAGCTCAACATCAAAAAAAACCTAAGATCATGGCCACTGGTCCATCACCTCCTGGCAAATAGAAGAGGAAGGTATGGAGACAGTGACAGATTTTACCTTCTTGGGCTCCATGATCACTGCAGATGGTGACAGCAGTCAAGAAATTAAAAGATGCATTTTCCTTCCTTCTTGGGAGGAAAGCGATGACAAACCTAGACAACATCTAAGAAGTGGAAACATCACCTTGCCAACAAAGGTCCGCATAGTCGAAGCTATAGTTCTTCGTTGTGGCCTCTGTGAATATACACAAGTGGGTTTATTCTGCACCTGTGCAGGACGTTCGGAAGATTCTAGAGCTTTAAAAAGAGTAACAGTTTACTTCCCCCCCCCCCAAGGGAGCTAGCTCCTTCTCCTCAGTCCTCCTTTCAGTTCCTTTTTTCTGCCAGGTAAGACGTGAGGAATACTAGAGCAATCAAGGAAAGGTTTTTCCCTAGCTTTTGCTAGTTTTTCTTGTTCTTTCCTTGTATTTTTGCCTTTATTTACTTTTTAAATTGTTTTCCGCAGTGATCAGAACCCATCCTGCTCTTTTCGTGATTTTTTGTTTTCTTTCCCATCTTCCTCCCCCCCCCGACTGTTGGAGTTCTCCCTGTCACACACCGCACAGCTCCTCTGTATGTTCTCCCTAACAAACCGATTTGCCTTCCGACATGACCGTTTCTCCTGTCTACACTTCTGCTTCCACCAGAGGAAATCCTTCCTCAATTACCAGTTAGGACCACAGAATCAATTGTGTCAAATATAATATTGTTTATTAATAGATTAACATATTTAAGAATCAAGGAAATCATAGATGGAATTGTATTTGGTATTCATTAAACTTCATTTAACTTAGAAATATGCTGGTTACTTTGTATTTAGTTTCAATCACTTTATAACAGTTGCATTTAGTTCTCTTATACCTTTCCAAGTGTTTCTTTCCAAAACAATTTCTAACTACCTAACTCTTTCCCTAACTCCTGACTAACTGTCCTATCTCATCACTAACCGACGTCCCTAACTCCTGGCCAACTGAAATCCTAACTCTAACTGAAACTCTAACTGTCCTCCATTCTCATATTCCCTGGTTCCGTCCTCCTGCACAACCATTGGCTACTGAATTAGTGTTCTGTTGTGATGGACAGGTGTAGTTTCTGGCCTGTCCATCACACCCCGTACCTTTTTGTTTTTCTTTTACATTTTATGGCCCCTCATGGCTTTAAGAGGTGGTCAGCTTGCCTCCGTAAGATCCTGCTAACAGACGAGCATGACAAATGATTATTTTGTCTCGGGGAATTCCACCAAACTCAGTCGTGTGCTGTGTGCAGGAGCCTATCCAAGCCAGCGATTAAGCTTCGGCTACAGAGACTGAGATCCTTTACGAAAGCACTCTGAATCCTACCATGGAGGTGCAGACCCCCCCCCCCACAATCGTCTAACCCTCCACGCCCAGAGGCGGCCAAAACAACTCCCAGCCCGGCCACATAGTCTATCTCCAGCATGGTATCTATACTCACCAAGCCAAAGGACTCTCTTAAGACTCCTAGATCAGTCGCTACCAAGGCCCTAGTTTGGTCCTACAACTCTACAAAGAAAAAAAAGGAAAAAGACAAAAATAAGGAAAAAAATTGCTAAGCCGCCACCTACTCCCCTTCCTCCAGTCCCGTTACCTATGGAGGAATCATGCAGGGAGGACCTGGGATTTTCGGACAGAGAGGAGAGAGCAATTCCTCCAGCCCAGGTGCTTCAGGGCATACCGGCCGATTTGTGTGGGTCACTGCCCCCATTCCATTTCTTTTCATTTCCTAACTCTGGCTTAATAGAATTGTTGGAATGTAATGAGAACTAAGAACTGGCTGTTGTGACTAGAGATGGGGACGATTATAAAAACGGATCGGCTTTTTCAATGAACATAGCCAATTCGTTAAATATTTGTCCCTTCATATTCGTGGGTTCCAGAGACCCCCCACGAATATTTATTCATTTTATGCTTCCTTTATATTACAAAAAATAAAATTCTTCCTACCGGTTGGTGATCAGGTGATCGGCGGCCGATAGGCAGGCAGCCACCGCCACAGCCTACCATCCCACCCCCTTTCCTCTCCCTACCTTAGCCCCCCATGTCCACTGACACCCCCTTACCTTAATCGCCGCTACTGAGATCTCCATCTGGCCTCCCAGACATGACATGTAAAAAGGGAGACCGGCTGCCCTTTGCAAAGATGGCAGCTGC